ACTCTCTATCTCAAAGGGTTGTTATGATGAATAAATATGTCAATATTTGCAAAACACCAATATATTTAATAAGGAAATGAAATAATTCCCATTTTCATTAAGCCAGTTTGAGTTGGTTTTTGTTGCTGACTGTACTGACTGCTTGAGTTATCTTTCTAACGAGAAGGGAATTTCAACTTGAATTTAATTGCTCTTTTCATTTGATTCAGCATTTTTATTGATCATTTTCCCAGCACTGCAAAATAGGAATGAAATTAGGTGCCACAGATACAAAGACAATTAAGACAGATTCTGCTACCTTCTAATTCACAATACAATACAGGAGACGAATGTACAAAGAGAAGATTTTAGAATAGCCTGATAAATACCACGACAAACTATGCACAAAGTATTCGGATCAAGGAGGAGGTATCTCATACAATTCTTATGGGTTAATTAGTAGGTTTGTGAAAGGTGTTGCAGAGGTTTTCCTACAAGAAGTGGTTACATATGTGAGTTTTAAAGGATGATGGTGGGGTGTTTTCCAAGTAGATGGGGAACAACTGAGGGATGGAAAACGCTCCATAGGAGACAACCAAGTAAGCAAAGGCATGAAAATTGGAAAGTGCCTGGAAGTTCTAGAAGCAGCAAGTGACTCAGGTAGGTGGAGTTCATCCTGTGGGCAGGGAGAGGGAAGCAAATGAGGCAGGAGGGGAGATCAGGACTCCTCATGGGAGGCCATGTGCCTATAGAATCCTGCTTGTCTGTCAGTTTGAATGTTTGCCATCTCTGCGAAGCCTTTACACGTGTCTCATGGTGTTTCCATGTCCCTTGTGGACAGATTTCTTTACTGACTATTTACCATAGGGAGAGTGGGAAGGCAAGAGTAACCTACAGGTTCAAGGTATGTGTAGAAAATGAGGGATGGTGGATACTAAATTCAAAAGACATTTATTAGATGCGTACCACACAAAAGGGATTGTGATCAGTTTTGTAACATAGTGGATAAAGCCGAAACTCCAAATATGAAAATTTGTTTTGATACTTAACTTGACACTTCCTTCTGCAACACTGCTGGTCTTCTAATTCTGTAATAAAGACATTTCGATAATTTCAACAATCTGTAATTATTTAAGTTTATTTGAGCTAACACCAAGCATCATTTAATATGTAGATGTGAACATCATTCCAAAACTTAAAAAATGCTCTTAGTATAAACTTTATATTTGCCTTTTCTTAAGATTGTTGTTTAAACTTTTGTGAAAAAGATTAATTAAATTACATTAAGTTAATGTCAATTATAAAAAGAACTACAGGAATGCCAAAATTACAAAAGAGCATGTCAGAAAAAAAATGCAGAAAATAAGCAAACATCTCTATGGAAATATTTTTTATGAAACTAGATGGTTATACTGTGCATAAAAACATCATGATGACTCTGGTATTATGAAAGTACAGTGTAGGAAGTTGAGAGATGAGTTATAAATCACAGCAAACATATCACGCAAGTGGATGAATACATAGTTCAACTAGGAAAGTTACAAATCATCATAAAAAGCTTTGATGATCAGAAAATGTCCTCTGTAATGCTTTAACATTTGAAATGTATTTATACATTCTTTATGACTCATCTATGTTCTCTTAGGAAAGACAAATGTGATTTAAGCAATTGCTGGGTAAATTGTCAATATATGTCAGTCAAACCAAGTTGGTTGATTAGGTTGCTTAACTCTTCTATATTGTTAATGAATTTGTACTGATTTACATATAAAGTATTGAAAGAGTTTGTTAGAATCTGTAACTATGATTATATATCTGTCTATTGCTCTTTTTAAATCTCTTCATTTTGGTGTGTGTGTGTATTTGTTTTTCTTTTAGAGACAGGGTCTTGCTCTGTCACCCAGGTTGGAGTGCAGTGGCACGATCGTAGTTCACTGCAGCCTCAAACTCCTGGGCTCAATTAATTCTCCCACCTCAGCTTCACGAGTAGTTTATATATTTTGATAATGTGTTTTTAAGTCCATGAGAGCTTAGGAATGTTTTGTCTCTTGTTAAGTTGACCCCTTTTTATTTTTAATCAGTCTTTCTTTATTTCCAAGACTACTTCTTTCCTTAAGGCATAATATAGTAATTAGGCCTTCATTAGCATATCACTTCTTAATAAATATACTAATAATTTATATGAATAGCATATTAATAGTTATTCAGTAATAAATATATTAATACATACATGTCAGGTTTCAATATATTAATATATCAATGTCAGCCCATTTTTACATGATATAACACTATGAATTCTTTTAATTTCAAGCTACCTGGTGCTGAATTTTTTTACTTTTCCTTTTATTTATAAATGTTTTATGGTTAATTACAAAAATTGACACATAATTACTGTACATATTGATGAGATACGTATTTCAATATATATAATGTATTATATACAGAGAGGGGTAATTAGCATATCCATCATTTCAAATACTTATCATTTCTTTGTGTGGTAACATTCGATATCCTTTTAGCTGTTTGAAACCGTATATTACTTTTAACTATAGTCATCTTACAGTGGTACAGAACACTAGAATTATTCCTCCTATCCAGATGTAACTTAAGGTATATCTCTTTCAAGAAGCATAAACATGTCATATTTATGTAGTCTGATAATCTTTGACTTTTTGCTGGAGTGTTTATTCTGTTTAAATTTACTGTAATTCTTAATGTACGTGTATCTAAGTCTACTATCTTGCTATTATATTTCTTTTGAAAAATAAACTTTTAAATTTTAATAATTTTAGATTCACAACAAATTTGTGTGGGTACAGAGAGTTTCTATAACTGAAGTGTCCCCTAATGCTGACATCTTAAACAATTGTAGTACATTTGTTAAAACAAAGAAATTGACATTAGTACATTGCTGCTAACTAAACTCTTGTTTTTATTCAGATTTCATCAATTTTCCAAGGATTTTTTTTTTTATATCCTAGGGTCCAGTTCAACTTACCACATTGCATTTAGTCCTCATATCTCTTTTATCTCCTCTGATCTGTGACAGTAATTTGGTTTTGTCTTGTTTTGTATGACCTTGACAATGTTGAAGAGTACTTGTGAGGAGTTTTGTAAAATGTCCCTCGGTTTAGGTTTTTATGATGCCCTTGTTATGTTTATACAAAGGTTATTGATTTTCTGGAAGAATACAAATGGAGTGGAAGTGTCTTTCCATCACATTATATCAGGGGGTGCATAATATTCACATGCCATAACTGGTTATCACCAGTTTTTTTCTTTGTTTGTTCTGGGGATAATACTAGTATCTCCTCATAAGCTCATTAGGAAAATTAAATAAATCAATATATGTAAAATGCTTAGAATAGTACTCTCTGCCATAGGAATGCTGGCAATTGCTGTTGTTGTTACTATTTTCTAGCAGTGGTTATCACTTGGGTTTTAAAAGACCTTATATTGAGGTATTCTGACCTTAAGTTGAATTTCCATTTCTTTCCCAGAGGTTGACCACCTGGAGCATTCATATGGCTCCAAGCAGTCAATCTCTAAGAAAGAAACAAAATTCTCAATTTTATTGGTTCCTCCAGGTAGGGAGTAGGTAAAATTCCAACAAACTATCAGGGTTTTTACATAATCCTTGAATGTAAACAATCATTCTAAAGCAAAGCTCTGACTCCTTATAAATTTGTAGTAATTATGAATTACTTCTATAAAAAAATTAAAAGATTAAAAAAAAAAAAAAAAGAAAATGCCAGTGCAGTGGCTCACACTTGCACTCCCAGCATCCTGAGAGGCTGAGGCAGGCAGATCACAAGGTCAGTAGTTTGAAACCAGCCTGACCAACATGGCTAAACCAAGTCTCCACCAAAAACACAAGAAACAGGCAGGTGCAGCATGCACCTGCAATCCCAGCTACTCAGGAGGCTGAGGCAGGAGAATTGCCAGGGAGGCAGAAGTTGCAAGGAGTGGAGATCATGCCACTGCACTCTAGCCTGGGCAGCAGAGCAAGACTCCATCCAAAAAAAAAAAAAAAAAAAAACAGAAAACAAATTACTGTATAAACTGCAAGGTCGTTAATGTAGGGAACCTCTTATACATGATCACTTAGTTAAGATTGTCTGTCACATTTTTCCATTATAATGGTTTTTCCTTTTTCTTAGTCTTTTCTTTGGAAGCCAGCTGCTAAGTCTAGCCACACTCACATGGAGAGGGGAAGTAAGCTTCACCTTTAGGAAGGAAGAAACTATCCTCATATTATTAGCAATTCTACTGTAAAGATTTATCCCTTCTGCCCTTGATTCATGTGTTGGTTTATTCCTTCATTTCTGTCTTCTTTTGTATTATTTGGCTATTTTCTATTATACCATTTTATCTCCTTTTCAGATTTAGTCCAAAATTTTGCATTTTCCTTTTAGTTGTTGCCAAATATGCAATATTTGTTCTTGCTACAATTTTTTCTTAATACTTTCTCTAACAATTGAAGAGACATGTTATAGTCTAAATCCATTTATCTCCCAACCTGCCTTCTTGTTATTTTTGTCATATATTTTACTTTACAGTATCTCCACAGGTCATTTTTTAAATATCACAAGTTTTGTTTTTAGTTCTAAGGCAGAATAAACTTTTCTAACTTTTGCTCCCAATCTCATTAAATGGGAAAGAATTGCCTAAGTGTTTGGAAAAACTGCTTACCAAAAGCATCTAGCAGAGGCCCACATTAAAGTATCAGTAACATTCAAAAGTTTGTAAAGAACTAATTTTGAATAATAAATTAGTCAGTGTGAAAAAACAGCTATGTTTTCTTCAAAATTAGAATTATCAAAGTGGTTGGAGGATAGTGTGTACTTTCTAAAAGCATCAGATACTCCTTTCTGAGTAAGAGAAATATAAGGGAAGTGCCAGCTAGAAGCAGGCACAGATTTAGAAAGAACCTGCAGTCTCACAGTATAACACCTTCGGCGCCTGGGAGGAACTAAAGATCAAGAAGAATTTTTTTTAAAAAACTACATAAGCATTTTTTTCATAAAACTTTTATTATCATATCATTTGTAAAAATATAACAGTAATGGTAACTTCTCTGTTGAAAGGCAAAGAGAAACATTGCAAAATGGACATTAAACAAGGCATTATGCCCTACACACAAGACATAAAATATCCAAGGGAAACTTCAGCATAAAAATGTTGAACGCATGATGTGAGATAATTTCAATAAATAACAACGGACATTCATTAAAAAAAAAAAAAAGTATAAAAAGTAGATTGGCACATACATTCCTTACCCTAACAGTGACCTCACTAATTGCTTTCATTCCAACACCCCCCACCCCGCAATTCCCTACCCTATCATTTATCAAGCTGGCTCACACATAATGGTCTCCCACTAAATGTTAGTTTAATGAGACATTTAAAACCCATCATATTCCAATTAAATAATCAGGATTGAGCTATGTTTGATAAAACACACATCTTTAAATAAAAACATATGAAATATTAAAATAAAAGCTTTCAAAAATAAATAAATACATAAATAAGTAGAACTCTCCTAAGAAATAGTCAAACACATTAAGTCCTTTCCAGGTGTCCCAAGAAAGCAGCTGTTCTCTTTTCATTTTCAGCTCTCATAGGGCAGGGACCACCCTGCAGGAAGTGCCAATGATGAGCTGATGAGCTTCTTACTTCACTCTTGTCAGTTGGTGCTCTCCCTGTGATGAGAAAACGGTTACTGTTGCAGGTGCTAAGGAAGGCTCTTCTGTCACTCTGGTGGCTGAAGCTTGCTTGGAGCGATGTCCACCTGCTTACTCTTGCTCAGCCCTCCACTCAGGGAAGGTCTGGCTGTACCCAGGAAACTTGCACTCCTGAATCCTATTTTTTTTTTTTTTTCAAGAAAGAGGGGGCTGTGGACTGAACTAGATTATTGGTTTGAAAGAGCGAACACATAATGCTCACAGATTGTCACATTCGGTTAGAAATGTCCATTCATGATCTCTCTTAAGTTGCACACAACCCTGTGAAATAACTGCAATTATCTACCTTATTTTGCTAAAGTTAAAAGAGATTAAATAATGTTGACAGGCATCCTAGCCTTGAACTCATTGGGGTTGTCATTGCAAAGTCCCTGCTCTTCACCAAGAAGACTTAAAGGCCCAAAGTGCCCAAACCAGACATTGCGTTTTTCAGGTCTGAAGCACGTTAGGGACCGAGTTAAACATCGTTCCAAAACAGGCAGGAGGCCTTTTAGCATTGTTATCAAATCTACTTAGTATTTCAGAAACGCACATTTATCCTCACTTATTTCAGTAGAGGTTAGGAGGACACGGAAATACTGAAATATCCTCAGGCACCAAAGCAGATTAATAACCTTCATGGCAACTTTGTATAAAATAATCTTTTCTTCAGTCCTTCAGCTAACCCTTGGGTTTTCCTGATTTACTATTTCGGGGCCAGATGCCAGTTTTTCTGACCAGCGGCTCTAGTCGCCTGCGTCCATGGAAACCATCACTCACCTGTCCAGCATCTTTTCGATGATTTTCTTAGCCATGGGGGATGCGGGGTTCAGACAAGCTTTCTGCCCATTCCTGAGTGTGGCTCTGCAGAGAGAAGGGGATCCGTGAGGCAGGAGGTCGGGCTGGGGACAGGGTCGGGGCGGCGGGAGGGCCTGGGAGCCGGCGGCGGCGGCGGCGGCGCGGGGCGGGACTCACATGACTTCGGTTCGGTCGCAGTGGGGTCCCGGCCGCTTCACTTCCACACTTTGGATGTTCTTGAGGTGGATCCCCTGCAGGGTCTGCAGGCACTGGCAGCGCAGTTCATTGGCCAGGGGCGCTCCTAGGGAAGAAGAGACTCGCCGACTGAGCGGGGCCGTCGCTGGGGGGCGCCACCCCAGCCGCGCCCCGCCCGGGGTCCCCCGGACGCCGGGACCCACCTGCCGCGCGCCGGCCGGCGGCCACCAGGAGCAGGAGCAGCAGCGCCGCCCGCAGGAGCCGGGGGTTGCGGGGGTCGGCGGAGGGCGCGGCGCGGGCCATGGGGCTCGGCGGGCGGGTCGGGCGGCGGTGCGAGGAGCGGGAGAGCCGGCGGGGAGGTGCCTGCGGCCCGGGCTCTGTGGCTCCCCGAGGTCGGCGAATCCTTTTTATGCATGTTCGGGGCTGGAAAGCCCGGAGCCCCCCGGCCAGGGAAATTCCCGGAGCTCCTGATCGATGGGGAGTCCGGAAGAAAGCACAGGCCCCGCCCCCGGGGCGGAGTGGGGTGCGGGCGAGGGGACCACCGGTGGCGTCCCCGCCTCGCCCTCCAGAGTAACTCCCGTGGGTCCTGGGACTTTGGGATATTCACTTTCTGCCCCAAATTCCTGGAGGGACAGTGAGTCTACCTCGCTGCAGATACCACCTGTCTGGGGAAACCTCAGGTGCCTGATGACTCCAGCGTACAGGGTAATTGTTGGAGGAAAGACCTGGGGCAACCCTTGAGAACCAGGGCAAGGAATGCAAGACTTTTTTTTTTTGAGACGGGGTTTCACCGTGTTGGTCAGGCTGGTCTTGAACTCTTGACCTCAGGTGATCCGCCCGCCTTGGCCTCCAAAGTGCTTGGTTTACAAGCATGAGCCACCACGCCCGGCCAAGGCAAGACTTCTTTAGAGGAAGAGAGCTTTGTCTCCTTAGTTATCAGATTTGCTGAGGACCGGGAGATAGGCTAATTTTCCCTCACCTGTCCTCTATCTATATAGACTGTCCTCTATGTAAACCTCTTGCCTCTCTCATTTTCGGTTAGCCTATTTCATGTACATGTCACATCAACCCTGTGAAAGTACAGCCATCATCTCGGATTTCAGAGGAGAATGTTCTGCTTGTTTCGTGTTTTGCATATTCTCTAATCACACTTAGAATATCTTGTTTACGTTTTCCATTTGCTAGCAACAGATTATCAGTGTCAAAAGTTGAATCTGGTGTGTCAGTGGAAGCCCTGGCTGTAACATGACCTCTTCTTTCATATCCTGCATAACTTCCTTCTTGCCTCTGAAATGTTGGAACTTCCAAAGTTCCCTGGAGATCTTCTCCCTGTGGGAGGGATTCAGACTGGATCTAGAAATATGAAACTGGCTATCACTCTGAAGCTGTGGAGGGGCTGGGTCCATCAGGCTCACAGCCTTAGTGTTTCTGGTTTTGTCTTTGCAAATGACACTGGTGAGTAGACAAACACCATTCCCACTGAAGGAACAAACAGCTGCCTGCTGATGACATTTTGAACACAGATCACACATAAATCACATTCCATATACTATAGAACTTTCTGGTATTCAGTGTTGGGTCCTCTTTCTCTAGGAACACTAACAGGGCTCTTTTTTTTCTGATCTGGAATTTCAGTCTTTTAACCTGACACCTTTGTCCCTTTTTCTACTGTTTTAGAAACACAAGGAGAGTGCCGAGAGAAAAAAGCGGATGAAGCATGTCAAGACGCAGTGGACATGTGCAGGCTATGCAGAACTTGGCTCCTGAGGAAAATGTCAAAATCACTTGTTTCTGTAAATCAAATATAAAGGAGAGGGTTTGTTGTTGTTTTTCCCCCTAACATGCCACTTGTATCAATGAAATCTCCATAAGCTAAAGCTTATAATGCTGTTGACTACAAAAATAAATTTGCTGTCTTGTTAGAACAAGTATTTCTCCAAGCCTAATTTCTTTTCAAGAGTTGAATGCCAGGATTATATGTAGTCTTTAAACTTATTCAAGCACAATTCTTAAAGAAACAAAAGAATCTTTAAAAATGGAAGATTTGGTGGCCAAATTCCATTTGCCCTGTAATCATGGGACCTCACAGAACTGGGAAACATTCAAATCTGGGAGTTTACATTTCCTAGGCCACCTGTTTTCCAGTCACTGCTACAGCACTAGCTGTGTGCAGATGTCGCCTGGAAACTCCTTGCCTCAGCCGAATCAGGTATCTTTCACTTTCTGGCCCAGTGTTTCTCTGTTGCTGCCGGGAAATATCCCTTTTACAGGAGGAACTGGAGTCAAGGGGTAAATGTTTTCCACTTTTGCATGTTTTGAGTAGAAATTCTACACCATTTCTCAGGTGGTCTCCAGTAGGATTGAACTCCAGTTGTCCATATTCTCTTCCTGTTTTGTTCTTCCCATTTTTCCAGTTCTTTGCATTGGTAATATTTCCCCAAATAAATTACCTGCATGGCAGGCCCGTGACTCAAACTCTGCATTTTGGAGGAGACTAAACTGAGGCACTGCTCCATCCTGAGAAATGACCATACTCACAGTAGGCAGGAATACGGAGGGCGGCCCCGCTCTGCCCCAAACTGACTTAGGAACTTCTTCCTCACAACTGCTTTCCCAATTTCCCTATACTCATCTCATCCAATGTGATGACTCTGGCTCTGAGGGAAGAATGAAGTTGTGTGAACATGACATTAAATTCCTGAATCAGTCCACATCCACAGTCCAAGGGTATGGTGGACGCTGGATACATGGTCAGCCTCTCCATTCAGCTTCCCAGAGACTGCTTGTCTGGAAGTTTCTCTTTCTTCTGGTACATTTAAAATTAATCTGTGCATATAAGGCACAGTGAGTGATTTAGTAGAAGAGATAAAGCTGGATCAAATCCAACTTCTAATGTAAAATTCTTTATTTAATCTGTCAACTTTCTTCTGCAATGCTAGATCATTTATTTTTCTGTTCCTGGCATGATAATCTCATGGTCAGTGTACAAATACTTAAAATCATTCAGTTGACACAGAATAATTAAATATTTTAACTTTGGTCTGTTTTTTTTTGGATGGGGGAGTGAAATAATGGGCAATTATTTGTATTTAAAAGTGTTTTTATAAATAATTTTGCCTCATCATTTTATTAAGATTGTTTCCTAAACTTTCTTGAAGTTGTATTCACTAAATAAACAACATCGTGATCATATATTATGAAAAAAAAACAAACAAAATATAAGATTGCCAAAATTGCAAAAGAATAAGGAAGTGAGACAATTTCCCTTGGAAATAATTACATAAGAAATTTGTTTGAAGATTAAAACATCATTATGACTTTAATATTCTGGAAGAAAAATTTAGGAAGTTAGAAGATGAATGTATAAACCACAAGTGAAAATAGCATGCATGGCATTAAAAAACCAGATTTCATCCAAGAAAAGTTTGAGTCATCATAAAAAATTGATCTTAAGCTTCCTATCTATAGTATTTTTTTAATGTTCATTATTGTCCCATGTTTTAGTGAGAAATATTTTTGTTTTGATTTTTTCCTTTTGGGTTCTGTCCATATATTCAGTAGGGACTTCTATACAATACTGATTTCAGAGTTGCTCTACTGGTATGTGACTGAGCTAGGTCATTGATTGACATTTTTGAAGTAGTTAAGGACACAAAAAATATGGGATCTAATTAGATATGGTGGAAATTATCATACAAATAGAAAACAAGAGCTTGGTTGTGTATCATTTACTAGCTGTATGTTATACATAGAAGTAAATGTCAAATAATGTTTAATTTGCTCATATTAGCATCTGTGTGGAGCATGTGGAGCATGTGGGTGGGCAGACCCTTAACAGAATCCCTAATAGTTACATTTGTGAGTCTAATTAAAACATCAGGCTGGGTGCAATGCCTGTAATCCTGGCACTTCCAGAGGCCAAGGTGGGTGGATTGCCTGAGGTCAGGAGTTCAAGATCAGCCTGGCCTACATGGTGAAACCCCGTCTTTACTAAAAAAAAAAAAAATTAGCCAGGCGTGGTGGTGCATGCCTGCAATCCCAGATACTCAGGAGGCTTAGGCAGATAAATCACTTGAACTCGAAAGGCAGAGGTTGCAGTGAGCCAAGATTGAGTCACTGCACTCCAGCCTGCATGACAGGAGCAGGACTCCATCTCAAAAAAAAAGTCACTGACAGGAAAAACGGCATAAGGCTGTTGTAATGTCTATGACTAACTTGGCAAAATCTGTGAGCCTAGCAAGATCAGGAGTTGGGAAAATGGTGTCTTTAATGTTCAACCAAATTTCTGTTAGCTGGGTGTCTTATCCTCAGTACCCACCCGCACCATTACATCACAGCATTAACTGCAGTATTATTCCTCTTTAGGTAGCAAATATTCAACAAAATTTATTTAGCACCTACTCTATCAGGCATTTTTCTTTCTGAGATCCGGAATGAAGAAATGACAAAGGCTTGACCCTTATTCCCTGTTCTAAAGTAGAGAAAAACAGATAAATGAATAATCACAGTGCAACTTAATAGGTATTCTGGTGAACATAAGTGCAAATTTCTTTATGCCTTGTTTCCTAATAGTTTCTATAGTCATTCCTAGATTGAAAAAAGAAGACTGATTCTCTAACATAGCTGATAAGTAAAACTGATTTTTTTCCAACTCTGCTTGTTGTCTGCTCTACTTTCAGATTGTATTGCCTCTCACCACAGACACTGGATAAAGACATAATCCCCATGTTGTGTCTGGCTCAGTGAAGAAATAAATATTTGGCACAATTATATCCAAAATGTATTTATTTTTCTTGTTTCCTTTACTAAAAAGACAGAACAGGCTCTTCATCACCATATGTCCTGTATGTTTTATAATCTTATAGGCACACTGGTTGACAAACATTGTGGGTTTTTAAAATTTGTGTTAATTTATGGATTGCATAAGAAATTTTGTTACACATATGTAATGCATAGTGATCACTTCAGGGTATTCAGAGTGTCCGTCACCAGAATACAATATATTATTATTAAATACAGTTATCCTATGCTGCTATCAAACATTGAATTTATTCCATTTATCTTGCTGCACATTTATACCCTTTAACCCACTTTTCTTCATCCTCTCCTTTCCCTCCTTATTACCCTTCTCAGTCTCTCTCATCTAGTTTTCCTCTCTCTTCCTCCATGTTTTCAAATTGTTAGCTTCCACGTTTAAGCGAGAATATGTGATATTTATTTTTTAGTGTCTGGTTCATTTCACTTAAGACAATGACCTCACATTCCAACCATGTTGTTGTAAATGACATAATTTCATTCTTTTTATGGCTGAATAGGATTCCAGTGCTTATATATACATATTTTCTTTATCCATTCTTCCATTTATGAACAATTAGGTTGATTCTACATCTTTGCTGTTGTGAATATTCCTGTAAAAATATTTAAGTGCTGGTGGTATCCACGTGATATATTATTTTTTCTTTTGGTAAATACACAGAAATGGGGTTGC